CCAATGAGATTATAAATATTTATATAAAAAGTGACAACTTAATTCTAACATTCAAAGTTGTTTTGATACTCCTACATTTCATTTTCAGTGATATTTATCTAGAATATAGACGAACAATATATTCTATTTTTTGCAATCATAAAACAAAACAATGAGAAAATATTGAAAAGCATATCATTTGTTAAAATATTTGACAACAGAAGAATTAGAATTCCATTATATGACGATACTTTTAGTCATTTGTAAAGTTTATTATTATTGTGTCATGATTAAAATATACATCATGCATACAAATTTTTACATTTTTTAATTATTTAAAATTGAAAATAAATAATATATGATCATTATTTATGAGAACCAATTTCTTTCAGAGTCCATATATTTAAACGCTAGTAACAAAAAAGTAGTAATTTTAAAAGACTTTTTGTTTGTAAATATTGGTATTCATACTTTTCTAAGAAAATTAGCATGTTTTCTTTTTCTCATTGCATTACTATTATATTATTTGTTTCTTATTCTATAGACAAATAATATTTTATTTGCTAAGTAACAAAAGCACATTTATACGTATTATGTTATTTTTTGTATGTGTTTTATATAATGATGGTATCAACTTATCTTATTTATTAGGCTACAATTAATATAATAACATAAGATTAAATGTAATTTAATATATTTGATAAAATTGTGTTTTTTATACGAATTATTAGATTAAAAAGTTTTAGAATTTTTTTCAATGTTTGATAAAATATTAATTAACTAAGTCATTTTCATAACCACTGAATACATATATGGTACCACCATTAGAGTTCATTTTGCAGTAGCAATTGACTTCACATAGCTAATGTTATTTCATTTCATTTCTCTGGCCTAGCCTTTTATCATTGACTTCACATTGCTTCGCTTCGTTTGTACCCTAAGGTGTATTTTCCATAGTTTCAGCATTACGACAAACTCGTGTCAAACATATATCAGATTTGGGCGCTTTAGCCAAAACGTGGGAACAGTTAGAAGTTTACACCTATTTTTTTACTTTTCTTTTTAATATGAATTGTTTCAAATTTATGTATGGAAAACATACCACAAGTTTATCTTATGTTATTTTATACTTAATAAAATTGATTTGACTTGAATATAAAATTTATTATATTATATACTTTAAGACTAATTTATTATTTTAAATTAGTACTGATACATATATTATTTTATATCAATATAAATAATTATATTATTTTTATTTTATTGCAATATATGGGTCAACTCAAACATCATTGAAAATAAATGATGTGATATATTACATATAAAAAGGTAACAAATAAAAAATATTAAGTATTTAAAAATTAAAAAATTAATGATAGAAAGTAATAAAAATCTTAACTAAAAAATTTTAAGATTAACATACCCACTTTTAAAGAAATATACATATTAATATATAGATATAGATATATTATTATATATATATGTATATATATATTATGTACTTAAAAGTTCTAGTTAAAATATGTGTATCTTAAGTATGTTTTATATTTATCATTAGTCAACTCCAATTGATATTTTACATTAAGTAATTTAATTAGCATTTTAACTTTTAGATTTAATGAGAGTTATAAGTTTTGTCATCTTTCTTACCCCTTATTTAGTTATTACAATACTAATAAAGTAATTAAGGACCTTTCAAAGTATCTTGTTTGCTTTGAAAAAATTTAATTCTTATCATAAATTGAACGTCAATTACATTGAATGTGTTATATTTTCTATCGTATCGAAAATTTTCATAATAATAGTTGCACACAATATTATATATAATGTATTTTTTTTTATATAGATTTGGAGTCTTAGTTTTACTACAAGAAAATAAAAAAATTCCAACAAAAATTACAACCAATATAACGATTTTCTTATGTTGGTTGTAGAAAAATATTGACTTTTGGTTTCTTAAATATATTTTACCTTATTGTGATTGCATAGATTTATTAAAATGTATTACAAATGAGAAAGGTGATAGATTATGTAAAATATAATTTACAAATTGCAATGAAATGTTATTTTGATGGTATATTTTTTTCTATTAACTAAATAATGCTTCCAATATGAAATTATTTTGGATATATCACTGCACTTATCTTTCCGATGGAACTTCTATTGAATTTGCATAATACCAGTGACAGTTTTTTCAACATTTGAAATACGGTCCAAAAAATAAATTCCAATAGAAATTCAAGTAATTGAAATCTTTACATCCACTAAAGTTCATGTAAGTTAATTTGAACTCTATTGGAATAGCCAATGAAAGCAACATATTCGTTGAAATTTTCAGTAGAATACCTTACCGTTGAATTTTTCATTGCAGTATAGCAAAATTTTTGTAGTCCTCTCAAACACTGTTTTTATGTAATATTTATTGAGTAATAGTGTTTACAATT